TTTTTTTTTTTTTTTTTTGAAGCTTGCTGTTTGTAGACGCAGGTAGGTTGGTTTTTCGCTCGAGTAACTAATTTTTTCCCACTTAATATTTCACTTAGACCAACTGTTTGTAAAGGATTCGTTATTGTTATCCCTGCCTCAGTTGTGGCTACAACAAGCAACTTCATAAATTTTTCGCATTCTCCTATACTGTACAAAAAAAGGTTAGAAACCAGGGAAAGAAGAAATTGGCTCCCAAATCGGATTCCAGCAAATAACTCAACGAGGGCATAAGATTCCAGTAAAATTCATAACTGTTCTGTAGCCACAAATGTGACGAGCAAAAGGATGCCAAAGCACTCCCAAAACTCCCAAAATAAGTCAGTTAAAAGCGGCCCAGTTTAGACTTAAGCCGACGCTTTTCTCAGCAGTTAGCAAGAGACATTACCGTATCTCCCTGCCTTCCCTCAGTGTACTCAAAGAAAGAATACCAGTGGACTCTCCTACGTTCATAAGGTACCTTCCCATTTTATCTGAATTCCAGTAAGGAAGTGGGCTGTTTTGTACCGAGAATATGTAAAAATAATAAACGCCGGTCTTCTTCCTTCATTTACCTTTTTTTTTCAAATTTATTTTTTCACCATTGTTTTTGAGTGCTGTCCCATTCTAAACAGAATTGTGTCTCTTGACTTCCTCACTTAAAACTGTGTTTTTTTCCACCCAACTGCCCGGTAACTCGTACTTTTTTTACACATTTCTTATCTACCATATGCGCTGGTCACAAAAAAAATTAACAAAATTCCATGAATATAAACAAAATTATAACGGTAAGTTAAAAATATTTGTTAAAAAATAAAACCCTGTCACATTTCTGCTAATGTCTCGACAGAAAATGGACGGAAAAGCGAAAGATTTGGAAAACAGTTACAGTAAACATCGACGAACAAATGACACCGATAACACATTGATAACATATACAGTTGAATTAGAGGTAGCAAACTTTTACAGAGGTCAGCTGGATAACCTCCGGCTGCCTTTGTGTAGCACGGTGGCATTAGGCCAAAAACCGTTGGAGTTACTTTGGAAGAAGGCTTTTCTTTTCGTAAAAATTTTTACACCAAATGAGAATTGAAGGTTGTTTTCACGTTTTTCACCAGGGAAGACTTGCTTGGCAACATTTCAGGAAGCATTTTGCGCATCGTTGTCTCAAGGTTTAGGCGAGTTTTGCTTCGCTCGCATTTTGTTGGTCCAGTTTTAGACTAGAGCAATTCCAGTCCAAAATAAAAGGCTGAAGAGAAGCGCATAAATAAAGGATCTATGTGTCATAATGTTGGTGATTGAATTTGTAATGAATTTGTTGGTGATTTCTGTTTCGGCAAACTTTTAGCTAGGAGGACGCGAAAGATAATCCGACTTTTTTTTTTTTTTGGCTCGCATATGTTCTGTCTTTGAATCGTTTTTCCTTTTTTAAAAAAAGGTTCCATACACTTGATGTCGTGTGCAGCACATCCAATGTTTGCATTAGTTGTGCATGCGTCACGTAGAAAACCTTTCGGGATAGTATGAAAGATTGTATGTAAGCAATGGATCTAGTGGAAGTTACTTCTTTCGTTCTTGACTTAGCTACTTGACTTAAACTAATTTGAAGATTGTACGGCTGTTTTTTATTCATTTTATTTTTTCGTTGCGAGTTTTTCTTGATGTCTTCTTGGGGACTTGAAGGTTTCTTTAAAATAACTTCTATAAAATAAGCATTTTTTAGATTTAACGTGTGTCGTTTACTAGCAGAGACTTGACTCCTTGATTATTAATGGTTCTTTTTTGTTGTGTCACTTTTTGAATTTTTTTTGAGTTTTCTACCAGTCTTGAAGACTTTTTATCAGCAGTTGTTCACTAAATGGTTTTCTTCTCGGTTTTTCAACTTTGTTTTAGGAGAGCTTTTCTTTTTTGAAGCCGCTGTAGATAGTGTTATAATAATGTCCGAAGCGGATGTCGATGAAGGCTTTGAGACAGATGGTGAAGAAGTCTCGAAAGTTCCTACTAAAAAGGAACTAAAGGTTTCCTGTGTTGTTGTCATAAAAATTTCAAATAGTTTTTTATGAATTTTCTGAGTTATAAGTGGCGTAGCACAGTTGATTAAGTTAAAAAGACGTTCAAAATTTACTTAGGTTGAAACTTCACATTACAGCAGAAGTGGGTAAAATATTTTGACTAAGTCTTCGTGTTGTAAAATGAAGAAAACGAATTAATAGTAACATTCTGGGAAAAAAAGCGAACATTTAAACAGTTTTGTAATTTTTGTTAATTATGAAGACAACATCAAGGAACTAGAGTTCTCTTTAGGAGTTGCAACGGCGTAAACTAAAGAACAAGAAAAAGAAAGATTCGAAGAAAAAAAGGAAAGATGGAATTGTTCTAAACAGTTTTGGCGCAGGTTTGCTGTTAGAGTTCCGCTGTTGAACCAGATTACTTCAGAATTTTCTGTTAAGTTTAAAGCTTCTGTTCTCTGTGTCATTCACAGCATATTCCAGGAGTAACATTAACAGGTGCTGAGAATGACGTTGATGAGGAGTTGACTGCAAAAATAGAATATGTTGGAGGTGATTTGCAAATTGACTCGTCTGATCCAAACTACAGTTACTTTACGAAAATTTTTGAAAGTTTCAGAGTAAGTTTATTTTTAATGAGGGTTTTCCGTACTTCATGATAAAACGAAGCTGAGTTTTCATTTAAAAACTGCTCCAAGTTTTAAAATTATCTCATTATTTTCCGTTTTTGAAATATTGGCACATTGCGCTTCTCATTGCAATAGTTTATAAATCCTGTTTTATTTAGATTGGGGAAGAAAAGGAGGAAAAGTCTGGATTTTCAGAACCGATTTCAGAACCAAAGAAAGAAGAAGCGCCGACGCGAGCTTCAATATCAGAAAAAATCCTCCAGGAAGAAATGAGCGAAAAAAGAGTATGTTTTTAGCTTATCTTGAAACGAGCATTTTATCTTGTGTAAAATTTTTTTTAACGTCGCGAACAGTGGCTTATTTTAATTAGCGAGAGCAAGAGGAGGCTGGCGAAGTTCAAACTATGAGCAAACGAAAATTACGATTGGCTATGCAGCCGT